TCTCTCTCTCTCTCTCTCTCTCTCTCTCTCTCTCTCCGTCTCTGTCTCTCTGCTCCTCTTCGCGGTGCCATGAAAAATGGCGGCGTGGCACAGGAAAATGAATTAGCTTTTACTGCATAAATAGCAGGCGCATTATTTATCACGCTGCTGGGTGGGAAAGGAGGGGGAGGAGGAGGGCACCACACCGGATGAGAGAGGGAGAGAGAGAGAGAGAGCCTGAGTGGGGGAGTGAGAGATCAGGTCCACCCCCTCCTCTCCCTCTCCCCGCGCCCGGAACACACACATTTTTGTTTTGCAATTTAGCGGGCGCGCTGGAGTTAATAATTGCTTCCAAGCGGGGCTAAAACATTTTCATCGCAAACGGCTGTCGGGTGGAGCAGGGGAAGTGGAGGTGGGGGCGGGGGCGTGACAGGTGAGCGAGCGAGGTGGAGGTGCCTGTAATCGCATTACCATGCGAGAGCTTTCCCAAATCACGGACCGTATCGCAGCGAGCGCGCGAGGCTCATAGCATCCGCCCCCTCCATCCTCTTTGCCCTGAATAAAAAGGCGCGAAAAGATTCAAAATTCATACGGGCAGTCCAGCTGGCGGCTAGGGGTGGGAGTGAGGATGAGGCGGGGTATTAACGTGTTGGTGCAACCTAGAGTGTTGCTAGTGCAACGAAGAGGGCCCCGGCCTACATAATTACACTCTCAGCATTACAATAAAAGTTACCTAGTCATCTTCATTCGGTGGCTTCTTTCGCATTACCAACGACAACTTTCACAATCCGACTTTTTCCTTCTCCTGCTATACATTAAAACGCTTATTAATACAATGACGAAAGCCATTGCCTTTTTGTTTTTATTTTCTGCGCGGTCCCAAGTAACAGCCGCTGCCCCCTCCCTCCCCCCCTCTTCCCTTTGTAGTCTAAAGTCTTGACGTGCACTCCATAACCATCAGGCCCCCGATCCACAAATTAGTACGTCGGAAAGCCGAGCTGATTGCATTAAATCCGGCTCTCGGCGGCGAACTCAAGTTCGCAGCGCAAAGCGAGCGGAGAGCGGGGCCGGCGGGGGCCTCTCTGGCGGGGCTGATGAGCGTCAAGTTGAGAGACAATAGATTAAAGGGTTTAATAAATTGCAGCGGGGCCGAGTTCCGCGCGCGAGCCAGGCTCGGGGGCTCCTCGAGCGCGCCGGTGGTGGAGCTGAGGCGCGGGCGGTGGCGACGACGGGTAGGGTGTAGGGGAGGAGAAGCGGTGCTCTCCCAGCCAGCCAACGAAAAGGGGTGGAGTGGGGGAGCTCCCGAGGATACTTTCCGTTATTCCAGACGTAATTCACCGGGAAGGCCCCTCCATCTTGAAGGAAATATGGTGTGTTCTTGACGGAAACGTTGGCACAACGTAGGGGCGTGTCTGCCGCGGGCCGCACGGGTCGTGACGCCGTCGCGGGGATCACACCGTGCATGTGGGCCACACCACCCCGCCCCGCCCCGC